CTATCTATCTATCTATCTATCTATCTATCTATCTATCTATCTATCTATCTATCTAATCAAATCGAATCAAATCGGAGTAATAGTCAATTTTCAAAAATTGTTTTGCCATTTCCTTATAACAAATACGTTTTTGTAAGAGGTTTACAGTATTGCAAAACAATTAGCTTATATACGTTTCGTAAGGTAAATAAGAATTGGAAGATCATATAGAAGTTATAAAGGGCCAGGCCATCTCCATCTCCCATATGGGCCAACCAAGTGGATGAGGAACCTGAAAAACTCCACAAAAATAATAAAAAATCAAATAAAAGCTTTAAAACACGTTGGTTTATTAAACAGTAGTTTGAGACAATGCCTGCTGAACTGTCACCCCCTCCCCCCACCATCCCCTTATCTCCCTCTTCTCTCCTTTCCAATTCCTTTTGGAGGAACGGGCAGAAGTTGAAAAAAAGTTAGATTCCTTTTGATTCAGAAGCTACCAGTTACGTATTTCTTTTTATTATGCGTAGTACTGTGTTAGCCACTAAGTTCAAACCAGAAAGTAGGCTATTGCTAGACATATTAGCGTTTTCTTAGCCACCCTGCTGATTTGAACAGAGTGTTACACCCTTGTGCCACGGTGAGGCCCAGTACTTCCGTCTTTTACAAGGGAGGGAGTGGGGAGGGGCCGTTTTGAGTTGTGGAAGACAAAATAAAAAGTAGTTTTATCATTGAGAAAAAGAAATCCCATGTATTGTTCTGAAGTTTAGTTCCATGCCTGATACCTAATGAAACCGTTGCGGTAATAAGAACCCAAAACTAGGCTATAGGGATGAAAATATAGACACTTTGTAAAAGTTGAGAAGAAAATACTAAAGGTCACTGTGCGTGTTTATATTGTCAGCTCAATAAACGTAATTCTACATTCACAAGCATCTGCCAAAAAAGTATAGATTTTTTCACACAATCATCTTGTGAAGTGACCACCAAAAAAGTCCAGTTTTACATTTTTGTTAAATTTACCAACATTTATCAAAAAGAAATATTTATGTACAAATCAAGTAAAACATAGTTGTTTATCACCAGAAATTGCATTAGTGCGTATAGAGTTGGAAAGCAATAAATCTTATATGGAGAAGAGTAAGAACAATCACACTATCAAGAGCCTAAACAAAACAATTAAAATGAAACCTCACCTGGTCCACATAAAGTACATCATTGTTTGGATCTACAAAGTGTTGAAACATTGTGTTTGGAGCGAGGTTGCCACAAAACTCAAGAGAATGAGAGACTTTAAAAAATAGAATCTGTCAACGAACACAGTGAGCCAAACGGAATTCATCTAAATGGAAAGAAATGCGAAATGACAGACTCATGCAAATGCAAAGATGTTATATTAAGAACTGTGAGGAAGAAATAGCAAAAAAGCAATTTATAAATACCGCGGAGCCAAGATTAAAGAGAATGAGAAAACAACTCCAGAGAATTTAAACTGCATCATAAAAATAGAAAAGGATAAATTTTATCTGGAAAGCACGTTGCAATGACAGAAAAAAAGAATCCTAAGCAGTATTGCATTCCCACCACAACATTAAGAAGCAACGAACATCAAGAGACAAGAAGATTTTTAAAAATATACTGAAGACAGAAACTAACGAATGAATATGAAAGGAAATAGGAAATAGAAACACCAACACTCCTTAAGGAGCATAATGATAATGAACCTAAACTATGTTGAATGCATCAAATAGAATGATTCATCATAGAAAGATATTCTAAAAGCAAAGGTAAAAAGAAAAAGAGGAAGGAATTGGCTTAGCAGAAGATGGGAGTTGTGCTCAGAAACATGGTATGGAATTAAAACAATTCAGGCATGGACAATAACAAAAGTCAGAATGTTTGATTGCAGAAAAAAAGGTCCAAGAAGCAGCGTCCATTAACTCAAAAAGCTAAACAGGAGAAGACAAGAAAAGACAGGGTGGACGTGAGGAAGAGGACACAAGAGAGGGAAGAGAACAGGGAGGGAGGGGGGTCTGGTAGGGGGTAGTTGTTTCTTAGCTAGAGGTAAATCACATTCACCGTTACAGTTTCGTTGAAACGGTCAGTCTGCACCAGTTTCGGACAATAAGGAAACGCACTCGAGTATGTCAGCTTCCTCCACACACAACTTGTCAGCAGGCTGTGGTGGCTGTGGAGAGAAGGCAGGCAAGCATTCCTCCGAGCTCGAGCTATAGGATTGGACCTCTTGATCGCCGCTTGTTGCTCTACGGAACGGTCTGTTGATGAGATACTGACCTGCAAGGCCATACGAAACATGGATGACTGGTGTCCACGTAACACGATACGTGGAGGCCTCTAGAGTGTGACTCGCGCAATCATCGTGGCAGTTTTCCGGCTGTTCAGAGTCCGACTCGCTCTCATAGTTGGAGGGTAGTGAGAGGTGT